AATAATTTTCTTAATTAAAACTTTAGAATAACTTTATTTTAATATATCATTGTAAAAATTAAAAAAAATTTATATTTGATTTGATTTGATTTGATTTAACAAATATTTGATTCAATTTGATTTGATTTGATCAAATATTTGAGTTCAATTCGATTTAATTCGATTTGATTTGAAAAGATCAAATCAAATTCAAATTGCTTAAATATTTGATTTGATTCGATTTTGAGGAACCCTAATGATTACACCATAATAGGATCTAATGAAGAAGTGAATAATATTACTGAAGTGATGGTGAAGAAGATAATGAATGTTATAAAATGAAAAAATTCTATAAGGAAGGTGATGATTATGATGGAACGAATGATGATAATCATGAAAGAGTGAATGAGAATGATTATGATAAAGTGAATGATAATGACTACAATAGAATGAACGAATCCGATTGGAAAGAAGATGATTATGATGGAGTGAATGAGGACGACTATGAAGGAATGAATAAATCTGATTGGAAAGATGACTGCTATGATGAAGTGAATGACAACGATCATAATGAAGTGAACAAATCTGATTAGAAAGAAGATGAGTATGATGGAGTGAATAATAATAATGATATTGAATTTGTCCAAGAAAGAAAGAATGTTGAGAATACAAAAAGTAAAACTTATTTAATATTATATGTTATAACACTTCAACACTTTACTGATATTTGTATAAATGATGATGATAATAATGATGAAATGTCTGAAGAAGATAAAAAAGGACATGTTATAGACCAGGCATTGGATTGAGATAAATTACTAACTAATAATGAAGACTTTAATCCATACTTTGAGAGTATCACAGCAGCACTATTCTTTTATTGGATCTAAAAGCATAATATTTCAATGACCTCTTATGATGAATTGGTTGATATATTACAACACCCTCAATTTCGTATTAATGATGTTGTAACTAATATTCAAAAGTTCTGGCAATAGAGACAAAGGTTACCACTTGTTCCTATTTTGTTGCGTAATGTTAGAATATTAACTAAAAAAACATCATCAACATCATGTGTTGTTAAACCATCTTATTACTTATCTGTTTCTGATATCATTTGATATATTTTCAATAATTATTCTTTATTCGACAAAATGTATTTTGGTCCTGTAGTAGAGGTGAAAGAAAAATCTGAATTTTGACATGATGAGCTTTGGGGAGAATTGTCTCATTTTGGCTAAGAATCTATTGTAATTTAACAAGATATATATTATTATTAGTATAGTTTTTTAAATTGTATAGGTCCTTTTAATATATTTTATGCATGTATATATAATGATATATTGAATTAATATGTTATAAAGAAGCTACTAAGAGAAAATTTAGACGAATTTTAGCTATATTAATTGAAAATAGCATTGAGAAACTGAAGATTCAATACCTTTTAATGTACAATGAACTTCCAGAGAACTTTTGTAATGCAACAAGACAACAACAATCTCATGAAAATGCATTTTGACTGTTCGACCATGATGAATATGAAGCTATTATCTTATTAGAATCATAAACTATCATTAGTAATATTGTCATAGGTCAAAAAGATACTGATAGGTACATAGGCGAGATATTATATAAGCATGATAATCGGTGAAAATTTAGGCTAGCGTCATTAAATTATAGGCACCCATCTGAGTATGCTGTAATTGAACCATTCTAAGATGGTAAAAATATCTTTTCTATCTATAAACACTTCTTAGATATTTATTATGATAATTTCGGTACTTATCATAATATATACTACTCACTTGGAGGTGTGTATTTACAATTTAATAATATGCCGTTCAATGTCTGAAGGTAATTGAAGAACCACCTTTTTGAGGGGAACTTCAATGATTTTATCAAACTATTCATTGAAGAAATGCATCAATTGGAATAAGGCAAAATATTTGAAGTAAATGGATAATCCTGTCAAGTAGTTGCAAGTCTTGGACAAGTGACTGCAGATATACCACAGGAAATGTTTTAGTTTGTGTTAAATGACATGGTGCAACAAAAGGTTGCCATTCTTGCCAAGCAACAAAAGAAGAATTAACTTTGATTAACTTTGATATTCCGTTAATTGCAAGGTACCACCATCTTTTAGATGCACTATATGATGAAATAGAAGCTACAACAATAGCAACAAACTGTCAAAGTTTCACAACAGAATATGAACTAAAGAATTAAAAATCAACACTAGATCTTTTGAAGCGTGAGCAGCATTTGCAAATGTTGCAAGACATTTACCATTTAACTGCTGGAAAAATCCAAAGGTTTTAAATATTACTATTAATTTATTTTCTCAAGATGGTAAACATGCATTCATAACAACTTGAAAGAGTTTTGAATATCTAAGACAATGGTATAAGCTTCCTAATCCAGTATAGTATCATGAAAGTTTCATGATGTCAGACTGTTTTTGTCTTGGTATGATAATGCCATTTATTATCAATCAGTTTTTGCATCTTAACCATATTAAAAGTGCTAGTTTGATGATGATACAACAAAGATGTAATATTCACTGTATAGATACTGCTATGAGATTAATCATTGTATGCTAAAAGATAGTGGCAGAAATGATGTCATTCATGTTCAAAAAGTTTTATAGCAATGATGATTATGTAATATTGTGAGAATGTCTGAAAAGAGAAATAAAGATACTTACATAGGTAAAAAAGCATTCTATCATTATATTGAAATACACATTACACATTAACAATAAAAATTTTAGTTATTTGAAGATTTTGTAAACTTGCCCAACCTTCATACAAGTTTTTATTTATTAAAAAATGCTAGAACATTTGCAACACTATTGAACTCAGCCATTGGTACCATTATTTTCTTCTGTAATTTATTCGTTTTGTGTAATCTTTCTTTTCAGTCTGTAATTTATTTGAATATTATTCTTTCTTTTAATAAAATAATTATTTCTTTTTTATCACATGACTTTTTCTTGTAATTTTTGTTGTATATTGTTGATCATTTTTGTTTGTATTGCTCACCTTACTTAATGAAATTGTTGAATCTACAGCATGAATCTAGATAAAGCAAACTTACATCATTTTGGTGATAACTATTATCATACTATATAGATATCATCATAGTCATTATTATACATGAAGTCGAAATGGATCATTTCGGATATCTGAAATGGTCGAAATGGTCGAAATGATTTCGACCATTGAAAGCTAAAGTCGCGAAATAGTCGAAATGATGTCATATCACATGATTTTATATTAAGAAAAAACAATAAACAAAAAATGTACGATCTCGGTCAATATTGCACCGATTCGTATGAAACAACTACCAT